TGATCGTATGCAGGCATGTTTTAAAACGCTTTTGCCATGGAAAAAGAGCACCACTTTTCACTGTCAGCATGACAAAGTCCTGTTGCCAGATTTGGAGGGGACAGAGGCAGAACATCATCGAGGCCAGCATTCACACAAGTGGCTCCAGCAGAGTGCCTTCTCATTAACCTCACAATGTGTAGCAAATTAGCAAATACCTGTGTGGTTCCCAATCTCCAAATGTCAAATAGTGATGCTGGGTCTGTCATTTGTGAATAAGGCCACCCCATGTGTCCTTTTCTCTTTGGGCTGAAGCATTAACTTGCACATTCTATTTAACTGAGTGCTGAATTAGTAGGTGTTTTGGCATGCAATTTTGGTTCAAGGAGTAAATACATATTTTCACTGGTGCTAGATTTATAAAGGGAGTTACTTGGCTTATTACTGTGGAATGACGAATGCTAGGACAACTGGTCACCTTGAGATTGTTTCCATGAAACCTACTAAAAACTAAATGTTAGCTTTGTAAGCACTTGGATAATGATAATTATACAGTATATCTCCTAGTATTCTTGTGAAATAGGTAGAAATAGGTAGAAATAGTCACCTGATTGCTTATGGTGACTAGACACTTTGCTACTAAATGATTGAATAATTCCTTGGTCTCTCTTGGTCTGGAAGGATAAAAATGATTGCTGCTGCAGTAGCACATCATTACCACCAGAGGGTGCAATATCAACAATCCTTGTGGAAAAGAAATTAAATACAAGGATTCTCCAGTTAGGGTTCTAAGCCAAGATCTACAATCACAAACCTTAAACGCTTCTCTTAAATGTCTATGCCGTGGCTGCCTCGCTTTTAAAATGAAAACTGTAAGAGTATCAATCTCATCAAGTGGTTTTACAGATTAAATGAGATGATATATATGATACCCAACTGCCTGCCACATATTGAATGGTAAATGAATAAAAGTAGCAATTGTTTCTCATCAGGTTAAGGATGTTTGTGCAAACCAAAATGTTGTTCGGATGGCAACATAAATCTTGGATTGATATAAAACTATAAGGTAAAATAAAAGCACTATCTTTTTGTGTGTGTTTGAGATTATGTTGTTTGTATCTATAACTGTTGCACATTTTATTCTTTTAAGGATCAGATTGGGAATAGATTCATTCCCATTAAAGATCTAGTCAACCTGTTTCTGTCTCTCAAGGGCTTGTCACTTGATGGTTATAAAGTTGAACAGTTTATATTACTTTCATATTTGATTATGTGCCTATGTTGAATTTCTAATCACTTGCTCAGCTGTATTAAAATAAAAAAATAATAAATAAATAAATAAATAAATAAATAAATAAATAAATTAGAGTCACCCTTGAGTAACATAATTCAGCTCAATTCTCCCACAATTTATTTCCTCTATTTTCCTTAGTTTTATCTCACCAACCAAATGACTTAAGTTAATTTAAATCCATTCCTCTTCTCCAACCAGGAGGTCACTCATGTAGACAGATTGCATAGCAGTTTAAGAATACTAGACCAAGAGTGAAGAGATTTGGCTTCTAGCCCTGGTTCTATTAATTCACTGCATGAATTTGGACAAGTCACTTTGCCTTTTTGGATATCTTACAAGATAATGCCTTTAGATGAGAATATCTCAAAGGTTCTTTCTAGCTGTCACATTCTATGATTTTCTATCAGAATCTTAATATCTTAGAGTTGAAAGGACATTAAATGGCATCTTGTCAAATCTTCCTACTGAATGAAATCTGCACTTTCATTTAAGCCATATAATTTTTATTAAGATTACTTATGAAAATTTTAACAGAACAAAGACTGAAGTTAGTAGACTATTAGTTGCCATGCATGCAGATAGAAATCTATGACTTAAAATGAATCGTTCTATTGTATTTGGGAGCAACTCTGAGAGTAAAGAAAGTGTATGTTTTTTCATTGGTCTACCTCAAAAAAGTGTGCCAAAGGGAATGACCAACTTCCTTTAAATATACCATTTTGTAAAGTGAGTCAAGTACCATATAATGCCTCTCAGACACTGTAACACATACAGAAAAAAATTTTTTTAGTCTCTGGAATACTCAGAGTTATGACATTATAACCATAATAATGATCCTATGTGGAATATGGAAATGGTCTCTTGCCAGCTTTATATGTTTCTAATGATAGATTTTCTTAGAACATGATAATAAAAGGATTCACATGTGGCATCATTTTTTTTCTATGAAGATATCTCAAAATAATTTTGCTTCTTGGGATAATTCTTGGTCATTTTCAATTCAATGATATCAGACTTTGATTCAAAAGAAAGAAAGAAAGAAAAAGAAAGCAAGAAAGCAAGCAAGCAAGAAAGAAAGGCAGTAGTACACAGGGTGTATGTAGTCATTAACAAAGAGTAAATGAAAAAAAAAGAATGGACCACAGTATCTCAGCCATTTGAGTATTAACTTCCATATTTCCTAACCCCTTGTTCCATTATGTCTTGAATGTGAAAGTGTCATAGTTTATTTATAGTAATAAATAGTAATTATACACTTGCTTTTGTTCCTTTTCCCAGATGCACTTACTCTGGCCTGCCTCTGAGGTCAGCTTTTGGTGAAGTTGTGTTTCTGCCTTTGTGTGATCCAGAAGTGGGAATTAATTTTTGAGTTATCCCACTTAACACTATGGTTACTGCTGTTGTGAAAATACATCATTAAGATGGTGCTAAATCATTCTTGATAGCAATGGTGAGCAGAAAATGAATGACCCTACTGACAACCAGCTTATCCCAATTGAGTTCAACTAGCAAAAATGAATGAATGTTTGTTGCCATTGACATGATGCATCCTGGGGATTGTAACCCTGGCTTGATTTCATTCATTCATCTACCAGATTAACCTTTATTGAGTATGTACTACTTTCGGGATTTCATTAGGTAAGATCCCATTGTGTTCATCAAGAATATAACAAGGGTAGACAAAACTGTACTGGTTAAACCAAATAATACTTGAAATAAAATATAAAATAGTGACCTTGTAATTAAAAAAATATATAAGCATATTTAATGCTACCATTGTGTTGGAAATATCAACTCTTTTGACTGTGGAGTCTACCTAAAAAAAGTGAGAGGAGAGATAATATTTCTGTGGGTTTTGAAGAGTAAGAAAGACATGACACTCCTTCTAGAGGGAGAATACTGTACTGCCCAATGTGTTCGAGGAAAGGAGTAGGTGGCGTCGATGGAGTGCATGTTGGTGGAGGGAATGCACGTGGGGTCGTGTGGAGAGGGATTGGGACAGGGCAAAGGTGGCCTGCAAATGGTCTTTAACATAGACAGACCTCAGGGCACCTGGGTGGCTCAGTCGTTAAGCATCTGACTTCGGCTCAAGTCATGATCTTGCGGTCTGTGGGTTCGAGTCCAGTGTCAGGCTCTGTGCTGATAGCTCAGAGCCTGCAACCTGCTTCGGATTCTGTGTCCCCCTCTCTCTGCCCCTCCCCTACTCATGCTCCGTCTCTCTCTCTCAAAAATGAATAAACATTAAAACATTAAACATTAAAAAAAAAAAACTTACACGGGCTGTTCTTGGGAAGGCGGGGTGGTTTCAGCCTTTAAATGAGGGTCTCATTTGCCAAAACGTTAACTCCAAGTCACAGAAATTGTTTTCCAAAATGGCTTAAGTAAGTGAAACTTAGTAGCTCATATTTACTAAAGTCCAGAGACAGTCTGGGCTCTACTCCTTGCATTTCTCTTGCCTTTACTGTCTTTCAGGTGATGGCGTAATTTTCAGGCCGCATACAAGATGAATGCACGTGATAGGACAAGGTCTAGAGGAAGAGATGGTTGCTCTGCAAAACTCCACAAGAGCTTTAACCGGAAGAACCTGTCCACATCACTCCTTGTTTCTCATTGGCGTCAGTCAGAGCACGTGCTCCATCCTGAACCAATCACTTCCAGGGAAGATTGGGGTGCCCCCTTGTACTGGCCAGATTCCATCCTGAAAGTGGGAGCATAGCAACGTTCTTTCGAAGGACTGACTAGGCTCAGATAAGCAGGGATACATAAACAAAGCACAGTTCTTGCGGGGGGAGGCAAAAGAACGCCTGTGAGGGCGATGGCAATGAGTACCCAGATCCACTTACACATGTTTTCTTCCTACTTACGTATTTTCAAATGTAGATGACTGTGTTTGCCCAAACAAGAGAGTTTAGCAGACTACCTGGGTATCACATCCAGATCTAAGCCCAAGATATCAAGAGGTCCGATCTTCCTGCTCACTTGATATTATCTATTCATGATAGGGCTACATTTCCAGGAGCTCCCAGGGACTTCTTTGAAAACAGATGGTTGTCCAGTGACCAAGGGAGGAGAGAGTTAAGCACCAAGTTGAGAAAGAACTCTTAGAAAGTGAATTAATTTTATTATAATAAAATGTATACCTGTTTAGTTTCATTCATACTTAAGATGTTTGTCTCATCATACCCAGTTACTGCTGTTAGTATAATATCAGGACCTCAAAATTCCATTATTGCTTGTAAAAGTGGGTGAAAGGAGCTCATGAAAAGTGTTTTGACATTTCCTCATCTGATGCAGCCAGGATAATACACTCGAAGCATCACTGCTGTCTCTGGAACTTTTCTTCTTGGATTAGACCCATTAGTAGTTTAACCAAAGTAAGGTACCTAATAAGGCCGAAATGATTATAAACGGAAGAGTTTAGAATAACCTCCAGCCCAAGCTGTGATTCCACTTGCCAAAAATTCCTGGGAACGAGCAATGTGTTGTCAGAGAATTCTGCCTACCCGGGAACCTGTTTCTTAAATTAAACATTTCTTTTTGGAGAAAACATAGTAGGTTTGAAATTCCCAATGGATATCTTTTTTTTTAATTAACATTGACTTATGATCCAATATCAAATTACATGAGTTTATTTGAAGGGAAAAAAAAAAAAAGACCACTTGGTCCATTTTGAACAAAAGAAGTACGAAGGAAAATAGAAGAAAAATAGAAGGAAAAAAGAATAGGTATTCTACGAGATAAATGGTTTCACATTAATAGGATTTTTTTTAATTATCACTTTTCTAGCTAGTAGAATATAGACTCTAGCCAGATAATTGCAGAGACTGACTTTGAAGGGCAGTGAAGTCCAGGTCCAGAATCCTTAACAAGTTGGTTGGTGGTAGAAACCAGATCTACAGGTTGGTTGGCAATAGGAAGTTTGGCTGCTCTTAGAAGCCAGGTAGGTAGGGCAGTAGACGCTGGACCCATAGCCCAGGGAAGGGAACCCATAGACTCCATAACCCAGGGATCCAAAGCCCTGGAATTCGCAGCCCAGGGAGTAGGAACTTCTAGGTCCATACCCCAGGCAGTAGCCTCTGATGGATCCACAGTCCAGAGATCCAGTGTAAATTGACCTGCAGGGACTACAGAGCACAGAGGTCCTTGGGCAGGTCTGGCAGGGGCTGGACACCACGCAGGACGTCCGGCAGCTGGTGGGCTCGCAGCAGGTCTCCTGACAGCCGCTGTAGAGGGAGGAGCCCAGCTGGCAGGTGCTGGGAGAGCAGAGGTCAGTGAGGTAGACCAGGTTGCTGGGGGAAGAAGAGCCACAGGAGGAGCTTGGGTAGCGCAGGTAGCCCCCAAGGGAGCGAGAGGAGAAGTTTCCAGAACAGCAGCTGTAGGTCATGTTGGTAGGAGATGGGAGTTCAGCTGAGTGACAGTGAGAAGATACTGTGATATCTCCCAGGCATGTTTATATGCATATATATCCCCTCACTGCACTGGGTATGATGCAGACCCTTGCCATTCTTGTGCATGTCTTGTCATGAAAATAACTAATTATCCTAGGCTATAATTATAACTGAACACATTCATGTGTTCTTAACTGCTGTTTAATTATTCTGATTTATAGAAGGCACTCGTCGCTTTTTGTTTTTTTCCTGGAAATAAGGTGTGGTTTGCCTTCAAAGATATTTGTCACGATGCAGATAGTGCCCTCCCTTCTTCACGAGCTTGACTGTGGGCATTTTGAGCGTGAATGTATAACTTGTTACCACCAATGCACTCCTAACAGTCACCCACACCCCCCTCCCAAATATTTATGTATGTTTTATTGAGCATTTACCATGTGTAAAACATTGAAAATTGTGGCATCATCTAATCCTTGCAACAACCTTATGAGATAGGAATTGTCACTAATTTAGTGACCCACGTGTGCCTTTCTTCAAAGCCAGAAGGAACCACAATGGTATGCTAACAACTTGAGAAGCTTGTCTTTTTCACTTCGAGTATCATGTGAGCAATGAATGCCCACGTGAAAAAATAACATTTCAGTGTGATAACATTTGCATTTTATCCGATGGGCCTCCGTATGGAGTCTTACCTCTTTTATGAAATCCCTAAATGCCGCCACTGAAGGAACAACTTCTTAATCATTTTAGTTCTGTTTTCTCTTATGCAAAGTTACCATGGAGATGGTTGTTTCAAACTGCCTTCTATTTGTCCTCTCATTTAGCTTATCATCAACAAGCAACTCATGTTTTATCCAGTATGGAGTTATTGGATTCTTTTTCCATGTGAGGCAGAGAATTCTTTGGCAAACACTTAGCCTATCGCTGAGAATAATTGCTAAAAACTGATATTCTTTGAGTGACTTGACTACCGATGAAGCACATTTGCAAAAACTTGAATTTTTAATAGTGTGCTAACCTTTGCCAACTCAGTTGGGAGTGAGAAATGAGACACCTCGGAGAGTGATTCATTTCACTCCCTGCTGAGCTTCTCTTTTGCTCATCGTTCTAGAAAGACAAAGAAGCATAAAACTTACCTTCAGACCAAGTAGTTAAAATCATCCTTATGACTATAAAAAAAAAAATCAATGGTATAAAGAACAGGCCTGGAATTAGAGATGTCTTTTTTCCCCCACTTACGATAATATCCAACTTCTGCCTGCAAGCATCTTTTAGAAATTGGAGACAAAAAGCTATTTATGTAATTTGATCTTTCTGTTTGTTTTGCAGGTGATTTGTTTTCTAATCTCCTATAGTATTTGCTTATCTGGCACCAATGGAAGAGTTTGCTGGTTGTTTTGCTTACAAATTTCTGCCGAATGTTGTGCTCACTTCTCTAAATCCTTTTCATTCCTTAAAGGCAAAATCAAATCCCTCCTATCTGACAGGTGTTCATCTCAGCTGAGCTTTGACTCTTCTGACATCAGAATCTTAGTATGTGATAAGCTATCCATTTGGTGCACACACACACACACACACACACACACACACACACACAGAGAGAAGGAATTGCAAGGGATGCCTTTTGATATGGGTCATGCAGAATGAGTTAGACTTCAGCCTTCTGAATTTGCAGAACAGCCACATGCAGGGAAATACCTCAGGGTCAGCAGTAGTAGGGCTTAGTCTTCTTTGCCCCAGAGACTGGCACGTGGTGGGTACTCCCGAGTTATTTCTGAGCTGAAGGAATATATCAAATCATCAACTTTTTATTTTTGTACTTATCCAAAATAAACATACGCATATAAACTAATTGTTTTTTTTCTTTTAAAACTTATTTTTATGAAAATAAAATAAGTCTCTTTCATGATTGAATATAATCTCCAAGTATAAATTCAGTGCGGGAAGTGACCCAAGATATCTATCCCCCACCCCCACTCTACACACAGCTGGCCTTGGGGCCTTGATTAATTATTATTTCTTTTCTGTTTCAAACCGCTTCATTCTCATCCATCCGTTCAAATGGTTCTGCTTTCTCAGCCTTATGACAAGGTCAACTTTTCTCCCATTAAAAAATGTCACACAATGTCATTTCCTTCATGACGATATAGCTCTCCTAATTTGTTAAAGATAGAATTCTCTAAGAAATTGTGCCTTCAGTCTGTCAATGATCTTACTTCTTTTTTTCTTTTCAATAACCATAGTTTCTCTCTCCGGCTTACCACTCTTCCGAAATCTCACTGGCATCGCCAGCAGTGGTGCTATGCTGCTAAATGCAATGGACGTTTTGGGGCGATCTTATGTGAACCTTTAATCACATTCAACACAAGTGACTGACTGTGCCCTTGATCTTGAAACATGTTCATCTCTGTAGTTCCATAACGTCACACTCCTCATTTTCTAACTGCCACCTAATTCTCTGTAACCTTAGTTGGGTTCCTGTACATAACAGTACCTGAGGCGTGGTGTTCACCTCTTGACACATGCTGCCTATAGAGGAGGCACGTCCCCATCATGGCTTAAAATACCATCCATATTCTGTGCCATTCAAATGTATATTTTCATACACGCCTCTTTTTAATTCTAGGCTCCGATATCCAATTACTTACCAGACATTTCAATTTGGAGGTTTCATAAGGGCGTCAAACGTTCATGTGTGCGAGATTGAACTTTTGCTCTTCCCTACGGAGAATGAAATATTTCTTTTCTTATCTGGGTAAGCAGCGTTTCCATCCGTCTAGTTGCTTAACTCAAAATGCTTAGGATCCTCCTCATATATGCAATCCTTCCCCAAAGCGACCCGTTCTGTCTTCCAAATTCATCATAAATCCATCTAGTCCTGCCTTTTAGTAGAGGGTTTGTCAACCTCATCATCAGTGACATTTTCGGATGTGTAATTCTTAGTTGTGGGAACTGTCCTGTGCATTGTAAGGCAGGACTCTTGGCCTCCATCCACTAGAGGCCAGTAGCACACCTCTTCCCCCCAACACTCACACACACACACACACACACACACACACACACACACACTCATTAGGACAATTAAAAATGTCTCCAAAACTTGCATGGGGGAGAAAGCAGTTCTGGGAAAGAGCACCTGCTCGAGTTCAAGGTGGTCTCCTTTCTTGGCGGGCTGTGAAAGAGTTCCAGTGTGGTCCGCCTCATCTTCAGAAAACGTCTCCTCCAATCTCTTCTCCCTATCCCTGCCTGAAAAATCTTAAGGTGAAAAGCCGGTCGTATCACTCTCTTGATTAAAACTTTCTCATTGTTTTCGAATACATGTGCGATAAAACACAAATCGTCCACGTGACTTGCGAGACTGCACAGTCGTGCCCCTGCCCATGGCTCTAACTTCATTTTCACACTGTACCCTTTCCCTCTTGCACCATTAAACTCTCTCCAGCTTTCTGCTACCGCAAGGACACTCTATTTTCCCTGCCTGCGTGTTCTTCCTTCACCTGGATAATTAAGATAATTAAGCTTTTCCTCACTTTATAACCACTGGATCCCAGGATAAATTAGGCTTTCTTATTATGATATCTATTACCTTGTACTTAATTCTATCATCTTTATAATATACACATACACACACACACATATATATATATACTTTTTTAAATATGAAATTTATTGTCACATGGGGGAGGGGAAGGAAAACAAAAGAGGTTAGAGAGGGAGGGAGCCAAAACATAAGAAACTCTTAAAAACTGAGAACAAACTGAGGGTTTGGGGGGTGAGAGGGGAGGGTGGGTGATGGGTATTGAGGAGGGCCCCTGTTGGGATGAGCACTGGGTGTTGTATGGAAACTGATTTGACAATATAATATATTTTTAAGTTGCCCTGTAGACTAGAGCAGCTAGTCTGCCCTGTAGAATACAGCTAGTCCATGGAGTTTGTTACTCTCTGCCATGAGATAAATGGTGTATGCCAACAGGTAAATCAATGCATCACTTCCTTCATTAAGAACATTAGGAAGTCTTGCGTGATTAAAATTGTTAGCCTCACTAAATCATAGGTTTGGTAACATCACTGATTTACCGTGGTCTATGACTCATTTTTTTGAGTGGTACATCTCTGACTATAATCTCTGGGTGAGGGGTGGGTGGTGGGGGAAGCAGACAATAATTCTACTCTTTCTTGTTCAGCACTGAATCCTCTGCTCAAGAACGATCAAAGTTGTATAGTTGTTTTTCTTTTTTTTAATGTTTATTTATTTTTTGAGAGACAAAGAGACAGAGCACGAGTGGGGGATGAGCAGATAGAGAGACACAGAATCCAAAGCAAGCTCCAGGCTCCCAGCTGTCGGCATAGAATCCGACGTGGGGCTCAAACTCACAAACTGTGAGATCATGACCTGAGCCGAAGTTGGACGCTTAACCAACTAAGCCACCCAGGTGCCCGTGTCTAGTTCCTTAATGGATAAATTAGGAAATGGATGGTTTTATCACCACCTAAATATCTCCTATCTCATTTTGTCTTTAGACCTCCGAACTTTCCCTTGTTCTGCCTATCCCCCTGGATGCTTCATAAAAACAGCAAAACCAGCAGAAGTTTAACTGCCTTCATAAACAGTCTCCCGGCTCAGATCTGCTTCTGTGCCTTTTCACCCACCTAAATTATAGTACACCATCTACGCAACTCTGAAAATGGGATGTCCAGGAGACATCTAGAACCGCCCCCCCCACCCCGGCCTGCTTCCTCACTTCCCGTCTCCCATCTTGGATCAGCATGTCTTGCTACTTTTTTTAATCTCTGAAACATATTAGAATACTTTGCTTTCCTTTCTTGCTGTGTCTCAGCTTTCCTATCTTTGAGACTGCAGGTGGTTCCTCAGTGTGCCCCCAATCCTCTGGGCCTACCTGTCTCAACTCTGTATCCTGTGCATTTTTTCAGAGTGTGCTTTCAAAAGTCTATGTTGACCTCTGTAAACTTGAATTCATATCTCTAAGTATTTTATGCATGTCATTCTATGATCTGACCCCCCCCCCATTAT